TAGTTTATATATTATAGTTTTTTTAGTCCAAATCATATAATTATTTCTATAGAATATTTTGATTTTTTATTATTTTTCTATAAACATTTCTGTACTATAAGGGAACTAATACAGTATATAAATAATCTGAATTGCTCTCTATTCCTTGAGTATCATTGTAATAGTATTAATAAGTTAATTAAGAAACTTGATCTTATATTTTCACAATGCTGAAATAGTATTTTCTTATTGTTCTTTATCCTATAATATTAACTTAATAGACAGAATATCATTCTGGAAATCAAAAATTTCTTTTCATTTTTAGCTTTTAAATGTAATTTGTAACTTTTAGGATAGAGCTAATATTATATTTATCAAGTTTTTTTTTATAAGTTTATCTGATTCTATAGAATTATCTAAAAATATTTTTTGACTTCTAATATTTGATTGACTTTGTTTCAATTAGATTATTTGATTTTTTTTCTTTTATTAAAAATGGAATAAATTCTTTTTTTCTTGAGATACTTATATGAACTTTGATAATTACTATCTCAAGTTTATTTCAAGTATTTTTAAGTATTAAAAAATTATTTTGTATATTTATTAAAAGGATTAATAATCAATTTCTTGAAGCTTGTATTCTATTTAAAATTTAAAAATTTCCAGTATTTAACTATAAAGTTTGTTGGATCAAGTATCTTTTTTGTTTTTGTTTTATATTGTTTTTGAGTAGAATTTTTAAGCAAGTTACTTGTTATTATTTTTGCTAATAATAAAGTATAATTACTATTCAATAATGTTTTTTTTTTATATTTAAATCACAACTGGTATTAGATATGAGCATATTTATTAAGAATTTATTCAACATCAAGGATTCAAAGATTTTAGGTATTGATATCAATCATCTCATACAAACTATATATTTCTATATAAATGCAAATTAATGATAATCTATCGTGGTATTTCTAGATGGATCTACTACCACTCAGAAAGTGAGCAGACCCAACTAAAGACTGAATGGTTAAATATACAGTCATTAACAGTGAGACAAACTAATCTAGCAGTGAGCTTTTTATAAATTTTTATTTATTATATTCACTAAACTAGGCTATATAGTATGTATCCAATGAAATTAGTTTTACTCTTCAATATTCCTAGAGATATTATTTACTTAGACCTCGAAAAGGGGTATATTATCTTCTTTGTCACCACCTGTAGTATAGGATCAGCCTCATTTGACTGATTTTTCATTTAATCAGAGCATCAGATTTGGATATCCTAAGCTAGAAGAGTGGTTTGTGCTATATAGTCTGCTATGCCAGGGGATATTGTGGGCTTTTATAGGAGTTAGACCAGAAGTCTTTCCTTATATAACCTTTCCTACTTTGATCTGATTTCAGCACATGATTGTCAGAAAAATCAGAGATTCTATCTTTATACAGCCTAACTAGATTTCATGGGATTCAAATATTAAGTATTACTTTTACAAGATAACCAGTAAACTTGATTAAAAGGATAATGTTTGATTTTTTGGTCCTTAAGTGGTATTATTCAATAATATTTTTATAAAAATATTTTAAAATTATATACAGTATATTAATTAGGCTAATTTCTAGTAATACTCAAATATAGTAAATTCTACTATATACATATTATTTACCTATATAAGAGTAATGATCTTTTTTTGCTAAGAGTTCTGGATATCTATAAAACTTCAGTATTCTAGAATGTTTAAGAAACTTATTTCAACCTTTTTATATCTTGAAATTATCTTAATTAAAGGTGGTCAATTTGCAATTGAATTGATAACTGTATTGAAATCTTATATAATTATAATCTTAAATACTTTCTCTAGTTATTTAGAATCTTGTTTTAAAGTAGTTATCAACTATCTACTTTTTTTTTATAGCAAATAGATTTAATAAATACAAAGTTTATATTTTGTTAATAGAAATTTGGCTCCTATAAAATAATTTTCTATTCTTTCAATAGATTTTGGCTTCTTTTTAATATTTTTATTGTTTGAAGTTATATTCTGAAATTTTCAGGCTTTTTTTTGTTGTAGTTATGAAAAAATTGGAATATTTAGTATACGTCGAAGACAAAATTTGCAGTTTTTTCTATTGCTTTAATTTTACTAATATCTAGAATATTAATATCAATATTTTTAATAAGTTTATATAATTTTTATTGATTTAAGTTAGTATTTAGGCCTCTAATATTATGTGTGTCAATTGAGATGATATTAATCAATATAGAGTTTTCTATTATATATTTATTATATAATATATGTTTCTTTTCTAATTTGTTAATAGTATTATTTTTGCTAGCATTTATTAGATATATAAATAATATACTCAGCTATTTAGTTCTTGTGAGCTTTTGATATTCTTTTAGACTTGGTAAACTTTAAGTTTTCCAGATTTATTAGTAAAAACTATTGTTTGTAAAGTTCTTTTTAATACTTAAAAATATATAAATCAATGCTGGTCTAGCTAGAAGCTTAAAAAGTTAATATTTGTTCTTATAAACTTACTGTAAATAAGCTTATTAGTATGTTTCTTTTTTTTTATAAAAATAATACTGATTAAAGTATTATATTGTTTAAGATTTCTTTTGAATAGTAAAGTCATCTCTTGGTGTTTAGCAAAGTATTATAATTTATTGATTGATCTTTTTTTTAAAGTAATAATGTATTTTTTAGATGACTTTTTTTTCAAAAAAATAATTAAAAAAAATTTTTTAAGAAAAATAACAATTAAAAAATATTTTTTTTTTTTATTTTCATAAATATCACAAAAAATAAAAAATATTAAACATATTCATAAAATATATTATAATATATTATTATATGTCAAACCTGTTTAATATATGATATTCTTTGGTTTCTATGCAAACGTAGATTTAACTTTCTACTGCATTACAATAGCAATCAAATATCCATATTTTAAAAAATTGACATAACAATTGAAAACATTGTCAACTCACTTTTTTATAACAAATACCATGTTCAACTACAAAATACAACTTAATATTTACTGGACAATGCCTAAATATATAATAAACTAATCTTTACAATGGTACCAACTTATTAGATTTAATAAGAAACTATTTCTGAAAAATATATCAATGGGTCTTTGAGCTACAAAATCTCTTAAAAAATTTCACAATCCTAAGACTATATCTCAAATCAAACACAACCAATATTTTTTTACAAAGTACTCCAATAATAGACACAATTAACACTAAATTTCACTGGGTATTACTTTAAAGAATAATTAAATATTATTGAAAAAAAACAAAAAAATAATCCAAACAAAACAGTATTATATCAACACACACTCTATAAAACAATGATCCATTATATACAGGTGCTCAATATATAATATAAATGAAAATACAATATACTTAAACATATATCTTCTTCATCAAACTACAAAATATAATTATAATTTTCAATAAACTTCAGTATCATATCTGCTTTATATTCTGAAAATCTTTCAGAAATACAAATTAGAAGAACACAAAGATTTTTTGACTTAATACAAGTAGTAATTAACTATTTAAGAGTCTCATCTCCTAAAGAATCTGCATTCAAACCTCACATTACCATACTAGACAATGACACTATTAAAAATTGAATTCAGCAATATTTTAAAAATAAATTACTGTAAGTATAATAAACAAACTGATATATATCACCAACTCTATAACTAATAACTTTCTTTAGATTTATATAGATAGATTCAAATTAGATTGGTATAAAAAACTATACATAAATATGAAATGGATCATTATTATATTAACAAAAAAAATATTCAATTTCAAGCCTAAGTAAACAAATATTCCTTATCAACAAGAGCATAACTCATGACAATTTGTACAACAATATTAACAATACCCACCCAATCAGCTGTAAATCTTTGTACTGATAGTAATAGCAATATTATGTATCAATAGATCTCTTTAACAAAAATCTAATAAAGTGATCCATAAATAAAAAAATTATAAACTTCTTTTGTGTATACAAGATATATGCAGAACCATAAACATCAAGATTCACTTTTATAAAGTCCCAGAACATGCAAAAATAAAATACAATAAAATGACTGATCAACTGTCAAAATCAATCCTTTTAACAATATGCCAAAAACTTTCACAAACCAAATAATTAACATAATGGAGAGTTCTAAATAGGATCCTCACAGACTTTACTAGTCATCACAAATAAATAAACTGGGCAGCAAACTTCAACAATTTTACATTCCTTTAAAATTAACAACAATATTACATTAATAGAAGATCATCAGATCAGAAAGTTTTTGATCAACTTATGGAACAATGAATTATCCATTAAAACCAAACTATATGCAACAAAACCTACACTTTATACAGTCAATCTCTGCCCTCAATGCAATTAAATAGAAGATAACTACCATCCCTTTCTCTGTAACACAACATCACAAGATCTAATCACATAAGCAAACAAAATTGTAACTAATGTATGCAAAGAACACATCAAACCAATAATGAAAAGCAATTTTGTACAAATAATCAACCAATAAATGTCCTTAAAAACATCAAACCGTATTTCATGGAACATTCGCTAGGCAGTAAAAGTAAATCTTGTTCAAGTTTCCGAAGCTCTTATTTATTATTTATGAAGGTATGGATATGAAAGAGAAGATGAAGATGTAGACGCACGAGAAAAGCTTTATTAATTCCGAATTTTGCAATGGATATCAATATACAGTAGAAATGAAGTTTACGTCGGAATTAGCTAATTTACTTCGGAAGTTATAAAAGCGTGTTAACGACTTTTAATTTCACATTTTATATTTGCAATTTTAAATCACAATAAAAAAATACGATTGTACAATTTTCATTATGTTTATAAGGCCGTTGCTGGCGCATTATCTTAGAGAAAATAAAAGGAATTTCCCAATATAAGTATTAAGAAAATAAAAGGAATTTCCCAATATAAGTATTAAGAAAATAAAAGGAATTCCTAATATAAAGTATTACTCATTATCCCGAAAAAAGGGATCAAGGTCTTGACGCGGAATTTTGGTCCTCATGTTACAATCTTCCTTATCAGAGAATTCGAGTCTTTTTCGTTCTTTCATGATAATGATAGCACGTTCTTTTCCAATTTTCTCAATTCCAGTCAACTGGGTATATGTTGCTTTATTAATATCTGGTGGTCCCAAGGCATAATTGTAGCACCTCCCAGCAAAAGGACCAAAGTATTCTTTCCAATTTTCTTTACTAATAATAGCCGACATTGGGTTTCGAAGCTCAAGTCCCTTGCAAGATGTTGATGTATATAAAATAAAAATATCCCCTTGACTTGTTGCTTTTTTATGTTCATCATCAAATTTTTGTTGAGAAATGCTGCTGTTTATCAATTTGCATTGGTGTGTTTCCATTTGTAGTTGACCAGTATTTACCATTTTTATTGGACAAAAGCTATCAGAATATTTAGCACTAGGTGCATTGACTACAATATGTTTTCCTTCCGCAATGTCAACTTCTTCAGCCTGACACAAGATTTTTGTATCTTGATTATAATCCCCAGACTTGGTGCTGACTCTCCTAACCGAATGTGTCAATATAAGATTTTGATTATATATCATGGAATTTTTGATAAAGTTATGTTTTGCACCATTATGAATAGTACAGAGATTAACTTGTTGTCCTTCCTCATAGACGTATGATTTTAGTGAACGAAATTGTGCAACAAAATATTCAAAATGTTGCCAATATTGACAACCAGGTGGGATACTAGATTCTCCACTTCTATTAAGTACCACCTTATAGTATGCAAAATCCCAATTCCGTAGCAAGGGATCTTTTTCATTGTAATTATTTGCATGAGCCATAATCCATAACCAAATATATGGACACGATAGATGACCACCAACTTGATCAGGATCTGAACTTTCAAACCTAATAAGTCCAAATTGAATCAAATCATCTATTTTTATTTCATTTCCATTAAACCCAGTAATAATATCATCTTTCCTAACAGGTGTGTGTGATAGAATAATACGAAGCATAGGTTTCAGATATTGTGTTTTATTTACCCATCCTGAATAATTTTTTAAAAGAGTTGATCGCACATCATTTATTAGGTCGATAAAATTGACTTCACTCAAATCTCTACCAATAATTACTTCACCCAAAGCCTCTAATGCACGTCCGTGGCCTCCCATATCATCAATGAGCATTTTTATCACTGGATCATTGGCAAAAACAGGACTGTTGTTTATTTTGGGAGGTTTCAATAATGAAGTTGGAAGAAATATTCTTAATTGAGCTGAACTGGCAAGGAAATCGTGAATGGGCATGCTGATTGTAGCTGTACAACAATTAATAATAAATGGACCTAAAGTTGAAAGGATGCCAAGCGTGGTGATGCAATCATAAAAAAAAGACCGTTTATTCTTTCCATCATCGAGGTTATCCAATGCTATCTGAAGCCCATCCAGAATAATAATCACATTAAGATCATTGAATTTCTGATTGTAATATTTGGCAATTCTATGCAATACATCTTCTGGTGCTGCATCATATCGATTCATAAACACACTCCAAGATTCACCAGGCTGTTGTAACAACTGAAAAAGCATTCGATTACCAATTGCATTAATGCAATTAGTTTTTTCCATCCCAGTTAATTTGGTTCCATTTTCAAATGATATATTAAACACAAAAGCAGACTTTAGTCGATTTTGTAAGTTAATATCATCATTTGTATATTCGATCAACAAATTTGGCAATTCCTGTGCAGTGCGAGATTTTCCTTCACCAGCTCCGGCTAGAATGAAGTATTGCGGTATTTTTATTTTATCAAGTTGTCCAGCCTTCCAAAATTTGAAATGATCACGAATAGCATTCTTAAGTATTTGTTTCAAAGCTTCTGAGGCTTGAAAGTCCCAAGAGGAACCACTACCCTTGGCAAGAGGTTGGGGATCACGATATTTTAATGTTTCAGGCAAGTTTTGTGCTGGAAAAAAAAAAAAATAAGATATTTTGTCAATGCAAATTTCTTTTCAAGAGGAAAACATTGAAAGATGCTTACCAATGGTGATGGGCGGTGGTGGTTGCACAATGAGGCGGATGTTACTAGAGGATTCATGAAAATATTCTCCAACAGTTTTGAATGGAGATAATATTATACCTTGGTATTGTTCTTTGATATTTTCGGTATATATTTTGGTTTTCAGATCTTCACCTTCGGTAGGAATATTCACGCTCCATAGCTCCAGGTCGTTGGCGTCAACATTGACAAAGGTATTTTCCTTCTTCTTTTTGATAAGTTCCTTAAGATGTCCAATGGTCATGTCTTTGCTAATATCAACCGGGAAAGACCTCCTAATGGCCTCACCTAAAACGACACAAAAAATCTTAAAGTCATTAAAAATCACTTGTAAAATTATATAATTTGTAGAATTTAAAATACCATAATTTCTCCGACACAAAAAATCTTAAAAGTCATTAAAAATCACTTGTAAAATTATATAATTTGTAGAATTTAAAATACCATAATTTCTCCGGTGTCAGATAACATTGTATATATAAGTCACGAAGTCCCAAAAATGGTTAGAGAGTTTTAAATAAAAAAAATGTTTCAGCTCTTAGCACGTAACCTGACGTATTTATATATTTGCGTGATTAGTAATGTTGGAAATCTCATAAATAATAATGATAAATGCATGAGGCTTGGGCTATACGTTTACGTAATCCGACTTACCAAAAAAAAAAAAAATCATGTATAAGGAGAACAATAAAAATTAAAAGAATCACAGTCTAAGCATTAAAAATTCCGCAATTCAAACTACGTATACAGTATATACAGTATATATATATTTATTTATTTACAACATCTGTATAACCTCATTATTTTAGCCAATAGTAGCATTTTTTTTTTAGTTTATATGTCGATGTGATTTACTCTAGGACACATGATCGAGTATCGATTATCGACATTCCCACGCTACTTTTTTTTCGCGAAATTACAGTATACGTTATTCGCCTTGAGTAGGACATCGGCTCGTCGAATAGCGTCACCTTTTTATTTTCCACTTATTATTAATACACCGTAAACTTTTTTGTTCGTGCGAAAATTTAGAAAGTAATGGACACGTCTACCAGTAAGAAACGAACCAGTGTTATCGAAATCCACCAAACAGAATTTGCGAAGGAAGGTGCAACAGGAATTGCACCATTTCTTCTATAGGAATCTGAGGATGTGATTCAATCAAAGAGGACATGTTATTTTCTGGCTGTGCAAGGTAAGGAGTCGATATTCGGTATTTCTTGGATTATATTTTTATATTGCTAATATCAATTTCGTCACTTACCTTGGGAATAATCTTGGTATCATTTTTTGGTAGTTCGGTAATCTCATCATTGGTAGGTCGAGATATTACCATCAATTTTTTCTATTGGAACCATATCTTTTTCCGCGTATAAAATATTTACTTGGATTTTTATTGTCAGAGGCAGCCACAAGGTGGCTAGGTTCACTAATCACGGAAATATTACTAGAGTGCGATATATTTTTTTCGACATCCCCCAATCACAGATTTCGATATAGCCTCCGATTTTAGACGTTTAAGTTCATTGACCTTCGATTCCTATTCGCTATTCATTTGTTCTAATTCAGCTATTTTGGATTTGAGAGATAAAATCTCGGATTCTTTTTTCGATGAGTTGTTTTGAATAGAAATGACATCTTTCTGGGCTGAAGATAACTTACTTTCAATATCTTGATCATAGACTCGAGTGATTTGATTTTCTTGGATTTTGTGACATTCTCAGCTTTGGACTTTGCAAGAGAAGTAAGTGTCTTTATTAGCATTTTCAATCTGTAAACGCAAAGCTTCATCAATGAGTTCGAGATCATGAGTACGTAATTTCTGAATCATA